CGCAGCACGCGTGGCCCGCAACTCACACAAGCCAAAAGCGATCGCCCTGCAACGGGCTGCAGAAGTCTCGGCCATCCCTCGTATCAACCGAGCCCCGAGGACCAACCCACAGTCGCAATGCAGACCCTGGATTACAAACTAGATGAGCTGGTCGACTTCTATCGAGCTCCATCCACCAAACATGCGAGATCGTTGTATGGCACAGCCGCAGTCGCCAAGATGAGTGCCCAACAAGGCACCGTAACCATCAACAACGAAGGCGCCGAACAGACATGCCGCCTCGGAGATGCACGGCGATTCGTGGACTTGGCGGCTTGGTAAACGGAGTTGCGAAATATCTTGGTACACCCCACGGTCAGGCATGGATGAAGGCAGAGCAGTACATCGTGAGCCTAGACCCTTCAACGCTATGACCTTGCTAACACCGGCACGGCCATCACCGTCACCGCCAACGAGTGCTCTGTGGCCCTGAGCCTCGAGTACTTAGCCAGAAGCGCCATTATTCACAGCAGTGTCACGGCCATCCAAGTCTGCCGCGGCCTCGAGCGCATCGTGACCGAAGAATGTCGAGACGGATCACTCTTGGCACGGTGGCGGCCAGGCCATCGCGAAGTGGGTGTTTGGTGGGGGTTCGAGGTTGGCAGACTAAGCTTGATCGAGCTCCTCGGTTCCGACCACAGCAAAATGTGATATCTGATTCATACATGGAGAGGTAGCTGGACTTTGCTTTGAAGATCTCGTGGAAGATGAGCTCTAAGTGGCAGACAATAGGGGAAGTCGTGCCGAACCCTCGGACGTTGGCGCACGCCCCGACGAGCCCACGCACGGCGACGGGAGGCTATCCACCATAGAGAAGAGGTCCCACGAAGACCCCGCGAGCTCTCACAACCTCATCGACACCACATGGTTGACCTCCTTCACGCATGGCCAACAGGCAGTCATGAAGGATGCGTTGTTCACAGTATTGGTCACCATCGAAGAAATCTTAGAGACGGAGACCCAACCTTCTCCGCCATACCCACTGCCACAAGTCCTGTCCACAGAGGTGCGCCTGCACCACCGCTACTTTACAGTGGGTGCGGCACCTCTCGAGATCCCAGAGGCCATCGACATCGATGAAGCCAGGAACGCCTACACGGACATGTTGTCCCCGGACGAGATGCACAAATTCATGCTTGATCGCCTCGTTCCCGACGGACACTGCGCACGCCTTCGGGTCTACGCGGCAGGGACCAAGAAGGCAGCGGTCGAACATGACGCTGACTTTCTCGCCCCCGAAGAGTTTCGAGAGCACGCCGCAGCCGTCGCTGCCGCGGTGCTCAAGAAACCGCAAGCATGGGTACATCGCGACTGCTTCTCAGGGCATCCTCGCTGCGGAACGCGCAACATCTTTGACTTCAGGTGGGTGGGCAAGTGGCAGCGGGTAAGGTCACCGCGTCGACGACGCCGAGGTCACGGGACCACCGTAGGAAAATTCCACGTTGCGTCAGTGCTTAGAGGATGCCTTTGGTCAAGGTGAGCTGGATGTTAGCGAATGATTTGTCACCTGCTGCGGGACGCACCATTGCCCCACGCGCAACGGCGGTTATGAGCTGGACAGGTCAAGTGCAGTCATGCTCTGAAACCAAGAGGAAGCGCTGAGCTGGCTGGCAAGTCGTCGCAGTTGCGCTTCAGTGCCACACAGCGGCGGCCACGCGCGGAAGCTCAACGCACTCGGGAAATGGGCGCAGGCCACGCCATTACGGATCCATTATCCACCAACGCGTTGCGCCCTCAAGCTCGATTTACACAGCGACGCAGCATTCTGACAGGAACAAAAGGAAGGCCCCGACGCGGGACGAGCCCGACGAGGAGCCACCTTCCCTCGCATCGGCGCCGGAGACACGGATATTCACCAAGCGTCCGTTGGCAAGCAAGCGCGTCATTTACTGGACTGGCAGCGCGGGGCGCTCAAGATGGTTGCGCGAAGCTTTTTTATTCTTGAAGCGATGGCCGCGGCCAGTTCAACTCAACAGATCAAGGCCTCGCTCTGGCCGCCACACCCCACGCAGCAATCAAAGGGCCGAGTGGCCTAGAAGCTTCGCATCGCCAGCGAGATCGTCAGCAGCCGCTCACACTGCAAATTGAGCTCTGCTTCGGCTCGATGGGAGCGGCCACAGCCGCCACAACTACAAGACCCAAGCCTCCGGCGGAACACTCGACACAGCCGCGCGCGCTCTGGCTCCGCGACCTCCTGAACCCGGGCCACCGATGAGCCCTGAGCTGGAAAGACACCCGCGATGTGATCGTGGATGGACTGACCAAGAGCAGCATGGGTAGATCTGAACTCCGCGACGCGGCCGGTGGATCTCGTCACCCGCCACCCCCGCGTCGCCTGAGAAATTCACCGCACTGTCAGGGCACAAGCGCTAAAACAGATTATCATGCGAATAGGAACTGCATGTTCCATTCTCTTCGGGACCATCGGCCCGCTCTCATCCCCATCTTTCGGAAGGTCTGTCACGCGACGCATGGTGGTTGAGAGGAATGTTGCAGCACTGCAGTTCTGGACGGCATGTTGTCAACAGCGTTGTATCTGCAGCGGCCCGCATGCGCTGCATCGCGCGCGTGGGCGAGCATATGCACGGACATATAGGATGTGGAAGTAGCAAAAAGGACCAGGGATAAGCCTTGACGGCGCCGCTGCTTCTTTTTATCAGCAGCGGGCCCCCGAAGCGCGTCGCCGAGCGCTGGCGGCCGCCCGCTGCCGCGCGCGCACGTGTCAACGCGCCTCAGAGCCAGCCGCGGGAGCCCCCAGGACCGCCGCCGCCTCGCCGCTCGCTATCTGCGCCCTCGCCTGGCGCAGCAGTCCAACGAGGCAAGGCGCGTCATTTCAACTTCGTTTTGATGTCAAGGCCACGCTCGGGCCCCAGAGCTTCCGCCCCCGCTCGCGCCCGCCGTCTCCGCAGATGCCGCGTGGCTGCCATGCCTCGCTCTCGGCTGATGCCCGCCAACAAGGCATCCGCAGTTGCGCCGAGCCCGCCGAGTGCTCCACCGCCACCCGAAGCGCCGGCCTCGGCACTCGCGGAGGACACCCAGCCGCTCGCCGCGAGCGAGGAGGAGAATGCGCACATCGCTCGCTAGCGGCTCGTCGCCGAGCCTGCCCCGGAAGAGGCGCCCCGCCGCAGCCTTTCCAGCGCCGACACCATGGACCCATAATTTCGCGCGGGATACCCGTTCGAGACGCGCAGAGCCATGGGCTGGACTCACGACGCGAGGCCAACGCGCGCGAGCGCCCCCCGCTGAGCATCGCGCTCGTGATGTTCACGACGAAGCTCCACCATCTGGCGTTCGCGGGGCCTTCAGCAGCGGCGCGACTTGCAGGAGCTACTGGGCGCTCGCAGACGCAGGTTCACGGCTTTTTTCGGCCGGGACCCGTCGGTTGCGCACATCGCTCGGCGCGCCTTCTTCCAGGAGCAGGCCGCCCGTCTACTAACGGCCACCGGCGCTGTCGCCGCGCGCACCGCGCCCCCCGTCACCCCTGTGCGAGCGCGCGCCTCGCGTTCCACCTCGTCATCACGTCTCTCCAGAGGATCAGCCCCAGTCAGAATGCGACGAAGCCAGCGCGGCTCACGGCTCGGGCTGGAACGACGCTAGATCGCCCGTCGCCTCCGCGCCGTTCTTGGACGAAGACTGAGACCACGGCGCCCATCGGCCCCCGCGAGCACGCTGCGGCGATAGCTGGCAAGGGCAAGAGTAAGGACAAGAGCGAGCTGACGACGAACTTCCAAGAAAAACACGAAGACCCGCAGGGCTGGGGAGAGAAGGTCGAGCGCCGGCGCGGCCCTCCGAGCGGTTAGCGCCGACGAGCCACGCCCGCCACCCTCGCCCATGGGGCAGCGCCAAGCCCAGCTCGCCCAGCGAGGAGATCGCCCACGGTGATCGCGATCGGAGCGGCCCCCGCGGATCGCGGCCGCTGTGAAGTCTCGAGGCGATGCGCCCAAAAGCACGCGCACATCCCTCAAGGTCCATTTCCATCCATCATCTTTTCTCCCACCTACCAGGTCAAGGCACTATACCCTCACTTCGAGGTGACCCTGGGGCATCATCTTGGTTAAGTCTCAGGACAGGTTGTCAGATATCACGTCCGCGGCCCGAGGGAACTCACGCCATAATCGCTCACGCGCGCGAGCTCCTCCAGTGCCGTTCAGAGCACGAGCGATCTACCATCTTCAGAGGGTGAACCGGCACCCTGCCGCGCCGCGCGCCCGTGAGGTCATACAGCGACGCCGTCTCCCTGCCGAGTCTAGAATGTGTTTTTGGTTGGACAGTTATGGTTCCCTCCTTCCATTGGCCCCCTTCTCCGCCAGAGCTGTTCGATCGCCCGCACAACCCCGACTCAAAAAGGAGGGTTTGCCGCAGTTTGGCCCGAGCGTCGATGCAGAGATGTGTACGTATACCTATAGATAAATGTAATATATATATATATATATATATATATATATATATATATATATATATTCATATTGCATGATGAGTTAAAACTCAGCAATCGTCCTGTTTGTTGCCGTCATGCTTTCTCTCGTACAGTTTCCAACCTCCCGCAGTTTCAGGTCCTCCTGTTCCTCCTCCCCTTCCTCCTCCCCTTCCTCCTCCTCCTCCTCTCTTCCTCTTCCTTTTGTCCTCCTCCTCTTCCTCCTCTTCCTCCTGCTCCTTCTTTTCCTACTCCTAGTCCTACTCCTACTCCTACTCCTCGTCCTCATCCTTCTTCTCCTCGTCCTCCTCGTCCTCGTCCTCCTCTTCCTTTCCTCCTCCTCCTCCTCCCCGTCCTCCCCCTCGTCCACCGCATCCCCCTCATCACTCTGGCACCGCGGCGGCGCGACATGCGCCAGACCGCGTGAATCAGAGCTGCGAGCTGCGACCTCCTCCTCCTTCTCTTGCCCTCTGCGGGGATATGTCTGGCTAGTCCTCGGGCCCGCCCCACGTTCCTTGGGGCTTGGCCCACCGACCACGGGGGCCAGACCCTCCCGCCTCGCTGCCCGAGGTGCGCGACGCGGTGGCGGACCTTCTGCGGGCCGGGGCCGGCACGGTCTTCGTGAAGCACCTCGGGGCCGCTGGCCTCGAGGTCGGGGGAGAAGAATATGCCGATGCCGATGCCCTTCCCCAAGGGCCGCACCCACGAGGGCGCGAAGCCATTTGCGGTTCGCGAGTCGCGATCCTTCTTCGTCATCTTCCTCGCCTTCGTCCTCCTCTCCCCCAGGGGGGGGTGACGCGAGAGCGCGAAGTAAGATATCCGTGTTCCGCGCAGCGCGAAGTGCGAACATGGCTGCCCGCGCTTCCGTGGTGTTCTCCTTTGCTGGGCATCGGCCTCTCGTCGCCACGGCCTGTGTTCTCATCGGAGTCTTGGTCAGAAGGCGCCCCATGGCGTGGTCTGGGAGAGCAGCGACATCGGCATCTGTGTTCTCACGGCGATCGGCGGTTTCCATCCAGTCGTTGCCCTCGACTGCGGTCCTCTAGGGCCATTTTCGGGCACCCAGGCGACAACGGATTCCATCCGCGCCTAAAGACTACAGGCCTCGGAAAAAATAGCAAACACTCATGCCACATTGAGCTGTCAACGCCTCCCCTTCCCCATAAATGTTCAAAGTTGGCGGTGGGTCTGATGAGTTGCACTTCGACCGCAGTCTCTTCCGCGCGTGCCAACGTTGAGGCTGGAGGGGAGGGGGAGTGTTCGATAATTGCTTCCCTCTTCTGTATCCCGAGGGAGGGGGGTCGGATTGAAAAGATCAGAGCGTCGGAGGGTGGCCGGAGCTTCGAGATGCTCCTGGCGACCGCCTCCGGCACCTGGCACGTGGCCGCCCCCCTGCTGCCCTTCGACCGGCCACCGGTGGGCGTCGGCGACCTCACCAGTGGCGTCTTCCTCGCCACCGTCCTGCGGGGGTCCCCAGAGGGCCACAAAAGGCACAATTCATCGATTTCCATTCGGTGTTTGAAGGATTTGGGCATTCTCGCCTGTGCGGCTTCCCGACGCTCAAAGACGGCCTCAGAGGCCTCCAACATCGCCCCAGGACGGTCCAAGAGGCCCCCAAGCGGGCTCCCACGGAGAAGGCCCGCTCGCACCGTCCTGCGGGGGTCTCCCGGATCAGTTGCCTGCTGAGGCGCGTGACGTTGCGCAGAAGTCGGACAGCTCAGATTAATTTGTTGTTATCTTCCCCCCTCCTGATTTTGGTTGGGGAGTTCCAGCCTAGGCTGGACAGCAATGCAATCACCTGCCTTTGCATTGCTGAGAGTCCAGCAGAGTGGGCGTCGAGTCCCCCAAAAAGGTTTCCCATGGAGAAGGCCCTGGAGCACACGGCCGCCGCCTACCACGCCGTCATGAGCGCGACGAAGGCGCTGGGCGAGTTCGAGCTGCAGACGGTGGCCGCGCAGGACTCCATCGCCTCACCCCCCGAGTGGTTTCCGGCGACGCGGCTGGACTGAAGCGGGGCTCGCGCCCGCCGTGCGTGAGAACGGGCACGGCGGTCGCGCGGCGCTCGGCACAGCGCCAGGTCGCCGCCAGCCTCGTGGCCTCGGGCCCGCCCCATGTGCAGCCCGGGCGTCGGATTCAGGCAGGGGCCCTGACAAGATCATCCGCGCCTTGACGGTTGCAGCCGGAGGGGCCAGACAGCGGGCCTCCAGAGGCCCACATGCGGCAAGATCAGTCGTCTTGGTTCTCAGGACGTCGGGGGCATGTTTGGCGGCAATTGGAGTTCTCGGGGTGTTGCTTCGGGGTCGTTCGGTGATCTTGCACGGTCCTCGTTCTGATCGTCGTCCTACCCATATCCCATCCTCACTCATCCTAGCTCTCCCTCCTCCCTCGTCGCCGCTCCCTCCCCCTAGGTACCCCTCTCCTCCGTCGGAGGACATGTGGCCAACGCGCCGCTAATCATCGTGACCCAGGATCGTCTATTCATGTTCTTCCTACCTCTCATCGCTATCGCTGGGAAGCCGCTTGTGCAAAGAGGTCAAACTTTATCGATTAGGATTGAGTGCGCAAATTATATCTTGTAAGGCAAGGTGCGTGAGCACAGATTGGGAAGGCCTTGCGGCTGGTGCCGCCGACCCTGAAGGGGGACAACGACGACGATGCAGACGCTTTGGAGCCCTTCTTGGGACTCTCTTGGGATCCTATTGGGCTCTGTTGGGGGGCCTCTTGGGGGACTTCTTGGGAAGCTCTGTGGCCACTTGGAGCCGCCTCGGAGCGGATCTGAGGCCTCATGGAGGCATGTGGGAAAATACGCAGCATCCCGCAACAGCAGATAAGAGTAAGGAGGGTGCCTCCAGGGATGGGGTCCGGGAGGACGGGGGCTGGTGGTAATCCCTTATTGGAGGCGGGGGCAGGCTCTTGAGGTCCCCCTGTCCACGAGGGGGCCACCCCCTGTCCCCCTCGTCCACGACCCCTGGCACCTCCCCCCGCTACCCCCTTTGTCCACGACCCCTTCGAATCAATTACGACGTTTTTGATTTACGTCTGGCTGGATCGCACGATGAGGGCCCAGGGAAAGGGGGAGAGCGGCGACGACGACGACGATTCCAACGGACCGGATGAACGTCTCACACACGCCGACAGTGTCAGCGGATTTTCGGAGGTCCACGCGAATTTCTTGGATCGTTGTTGGACCTCCCTCGCTGGCGCGCGAAGCGCGCCAAGGGGGGCGCCTGAGGCGCCGCCAAGGAGATGCAGTACCAATCCAAGTGATCGATGCGGACCTCCGAAAGATTATGCTTAGACATATGTAGCTCGTTGTTCCTGCACGTCTGGTTCCACAGGCGCTCTCGGCAGTATGTTGGGGAGAATAGGGAGGGCAGCAGCGGAGCGGACTCTTCGGGTTCGCTTCAAGATTGGCGCATCTTACGCCGAGGCGGCGAGGCGACGAAGCAGGGAGGATCAAGCTTGAGGTGATAAATGCAGCCTTTGGTAGGCGGGTTGGGGAGGACCGTGCTGCCAGTGGTGCCTCTACAAGGCTGCGTCGAAGGCGGCCCCATTTTGCGTCTTCGCTCTGACACCAGTCCAGTGTTGCCGTTTTCCCCATGTTCGCGTCCGCTACAGCATGAGTTGCCCGATCGCGCGTTCTGTGCTCGAAGTGCGGGCGCCATCTTAGAAGGGTTCCTCCTCCCCCTCCTGCTCCTCCTGCCCCTGTCTTTCATCCTCCCCATTATTCTTCCTCAACATAGCGTCCTCTTTTCGCCTCCTGCCCCTGGGGACCCCCCCCATCCCCGCAAGGACGCTCTGGGCCTCAACGATCCTCCGAGGACCCTGTGAGAACACCCTTCACCAGTAGTATCATCCTTCTCCTGCCTCCGTGTGCCAGGCAGGCCCAGGAGAGAAAGATGAATAGCTCCGGAGCGTTCCCGAATTCTCCCAGAGCGTATCGAAACGCTCTGTTGAACGCCCATAGTTCTTGGCGTATCTTGCGGGGAACCTGTTGGCTCCCAGATATCCCGTGTTCTCTTGGCCCGTCGCACCTTCGCTCACCACCCACCTCACCACCTCACCACCTCACTCGGTGCGTCTTCCGCCTTCACCACCTCACTCGGTACGTCTTCCGCCGTCGCCACCCACCTCACCACCTCGCCACCTCACTGGGAGACTTCCACTCACCACCTTACTCGGTGCGTCTTCCGCCCTGGTCACGCCAGGGGGGCGCATGCATTGATCGCTTGGCCCAGGCCAGGATCGGTGAGGTGATCAGTAGTCGTCCCCCGATGCCTGGCCCTGCCTCTGTCCTGCCCCTGTCCCGTTTGCGTGCGCCGCACGCCCGCGAGGCGGCGCGGACGAAGCGCGGCCCCATGGCGAAGTCTGCCCGCCTGGAGAGGCTCCTGGGATGATGGCGACCGCACGGGAGGGTCGGTGGGTTGCCATTCGTCGGGCAGGTCTGGCATGAGGGTAAGCCGTCGCAGAGCGTTTTGGAGCTTCGGAGCGGCAGCAGTACCCGACGCGTCTTCCAGAACCACCGGTTCTCAGACATTCTAGATGTAACCTCGGGAGGTCTTTTGTTTTGGTCCCCCCCCCCGACCCTCGTTTCCCTCGGCGGTGAATAGGACTCGTCCTCAAACCGGCCCCTCCTCTTCCTCCTGCTCCTGAGGCATAATTAGTGGAAGTATCGTAGTCGTAGTTGTAGTCACAATCGTAGTCGTAGCTGTCGTCGGCGTCGTCGTTGTTGCGCGGCGGGTGCCGCGGAAACAAATGAGAAGTTACCCTTGTTGGTGGGACCCCAGTCCTTGAATACGGCCGCGAAAAAAATAAAAAAACAAAGAAAACAAAAAACAACTGGCGACGTACCCAACCCCTGCGCAATGTGGGGATTGAGTAGCCTGGGACACGTTCTACAGAGGTGATGACGTGACACGGGCGCATATAATTATGCGAGCGGCAGTTGTGAGGCTCGCAGACAGTTCCGCAGTTCCGCAGATCGCAGCCCCCAAAGGACGGCGAGGTCCCGCTCAGATCTGCACCGTGCCTCATTCCGCTGGGCCCACCCGCAGCCCGCGAAAGTGGCGACAGTTTCCCAGATCGCAGCCTGGGGGGGACGGCGAGGTCTCGCTCAGATCCGCGCGGTGCCTCACTCCGGTAGACCCACCAGCAGCTCCCGAAAGTGGCGACAGGGACGGCGAGGTCTCGCTCAGATCCGCGCGGTGCCTCACTCCATTGGACCCACCAGCAGCCCTCGAAACTGGCGACAAAATCGCAAATCGCAACCCTCCCTATGGGGCCACGAAACGCTGTCCTGGGCAAGGGGGAACGCATGCGAACACCCCCACTGGGGCCTTCGGAGGAGCTCCCTATGGGGCCACGAAACGCTGCCCTGCGTGGGGGAAACGCATGCGAACACCCCGATTGAGGCCTTCGGTGGAGCTCCCTATGGGGCTACGCAACGCTGTCCTGGATGGGAGAAAATCATGCGAACACCCCCACTGGGGCCTTCGGTGGAGCTCCCTATGGGGCCACGAAACGCTGTCCTGGGCGGGGGGGACGCATGCGAACACCCCCACTGGGGCTTCCGGTGGAGCTCCCTATGGGGACACGGAACGCGTTCCTGCGTGGGGGAGACGCATGCGAACACCCCGATTGAGGCATTCGGTGGAGCTCCCTGTGGGGCTACGAAACGCTGTCCTTTGTGGGGGAGACGCATGCGAACACTCCGATTGAGGCCTTCGGTGTAGCTCCCTGTGGGGCCACGAAACGTGTGAGGGGTGTGACGACATGGGCGGCGGGGACGATGATGGTGACGATGATGAGGAGGATGTAGATGAGGATGATGCTGCAGATGATGATGTTGATGGATGATGGGTGACGGTGGTGATGGTGACGATGGTGTAGGGAGAGGGAAGCGATGATGATGATGATGATGATGATGATGGTGATGGGAGGGGAGGAGGAGGAGGAGGAGGAGGAGGACGAGGAGGAGGACGAGGAGGAGGACGAGGAGAAGGAGGAGGAGGAGGAGGAGGAGAGGAGAGGAGAGGAGAGGAGAGGAGAGGAACGCGGGGCGCTGTCTCTTCAAAACGAGGACCCAACACCACAGGATGGTTGGGAATCAATGATGTGGCTTCCGCGCCAAGGCCAACAAAAGACGCCCCAGCGTTTCGCAATCCCCCCTCCAAACCCAACAGGAAGGGGGAGGGGGAGGGGTAAACCCTCCCCCGAAGGGGAAGAAGGGTGGTTGGAAGAGGAAACGCTCTAAACGCTCTAAACAATTCACGCCCAGAGGGGCCGGTGGGAATCAACGCATCATCCAGCAATCGCCCCGACGTTCATCGCAACTTACAGGGCTGCAGTGTCCTGCTTGTTGAGCTGAAAACCTCCACACGGAAAGGCTGCAACAGATGGCTTACCCAGCCCAGCTGCCGCACGCACAGTATTTCGACCGCCCCCGTTCGTTGTACCTGCATACGCATTATGGTTTCATATATGCGGCTGTTCCTCCACTTCCTCTTTCTACGATGGCTCCCAGTTTAGTCCACCCTGTCTGAGCCCCAGCGGGCCCGCTTGATTCTTGTCAGTTCTCTATGTCATTATGGATTCATGCGCTTGCTGCCGGCCGTGCTGAGGCCACATCGCCTAAGTCTGGTGCCTCCGTTGTTTACCAGTGTTGCCGCAAAGACGCTTCGATCATCTGACATTATTTGCGCGACGTAACATAAGGAAAAAACAGTTAGGAGAGGAGGGGGAGGAGGACCAGAGTAGACCCAGGATGCATCCACGATGCTGCAACGCACCCTCCCGCTCCAAGCTTCCCATTCAGAAGTCACTACAACTGTTCTGTTCCACTGCGGGAACCGCGTCATTGAATGACGAACGCTTGGTTGGCTTGACACGCCGGCGAGACCCCGATGTGTGAAATATTCACCCGTCTTAGCTACAATCAGCAAAACAGGTACGATGATAAAGATCAAGGAAGTGTCAAGCGACAGCCCAAAGTTTGAGCTGGAGCGGCTTCCATCAGTGCAAGTGGTGCACTACTTCAAAGGTTTGGCATTGAGTATCTCGGAAGTCTCACATGGAGCCCCATGTTGAAAAGAGGCCGCTCTCCATCCGCATGACTGTAGCACAGAGTGGACCATCGAGTGTGACGAAGTCCCAAGCGATAAT